AGGGTGAAGACTCTGCATTCAATCCCCTGTACTGCACAGAGAAGAAATGTCTAAGACCAACATGTTCTTGTTGTAACCCAAAAATGAGGCAGGCTCAAAAACAAAAGAGCGCTTTATTTTATCTGGTGCCCAGCAGCGGACACCCTGCAGAGTGTGCTAAGGTGCATGCCCGGAGAATGAGGGGAATGGGTACATAAGCTGACAAACCGCAAAAGGGTGACATCAGGGGTTCAACTAGGGGCTACAGTAGAAAAACTACCTGTCTTCAAGAACAATAACAGGGCCAGGGAAATAGCTCAGTAGAATAAGCACTTGCCTGGCAAGTGCAAAGACCTGAGTTCAATCCCTGGTTTTGCAAAAAAAAAAAAAAAAAAGAATAACAGGTTGGGTGGTTGGGTACAGTTTGTGCCTGGGAACGATGGCAAGAACAGGATGTTGGGCCAGAACTAGATACGGGTGCGCACAGAGGACAGCACGAGAAAGGCCCAAATGCAGGTTCTCAAGTAGAGAACGGGACATAGTGGAAAGTTACAGCATTTAGAATGGCGCATACAGAACTAGATGGCGGTGCCTATGTCAGGTTATAACAGTTCTGAGAGGCTGTCCACCACTGTAACAAAACAGCAAGGATTAGATGACTTCTACAGCAGGGACTCTCCAGCCTCGTGAGCCTTTGTCACCTCACAGAGCCTGCTTGGGCACCACTGATAGGACGAAAGAGCAAGGGGAGAAGGCACCAGACAGGTGTACTTGCGACAAACCAGAGAGGCAGCACACTGCTCATAGAACAGACCTGAACCTCATGCTGGCTGAGGGCTTTCACAGGGTCATAGGATAAAGGGGACACTGGGAAACAAGGATAAAGGGGGCACTGGGAAAGGAAAAGGTCCAGGTGGGACCTTCAAGAGGAACAGGTCAGTGGAAAGGAGTTGTGGCTGTACCAGAGACAGGATTGAATGCACTTGGGGTGCTGAGGGACCGTTATGGGGTGGCTGTGGTCACCAGGCTTTATTAACCCACAGCCATGCATCATCAGCCTGGTAAAGCACAGCGGTTGGAAGAGATTTAAAGTGGGCGCTGGTCAGCTGAGGATGATGACTGTTGCCAAGGTTGGAGAAAGAGTGCCAGAAAGGCAGAAACCTGGGGCAGTCATCTGTCCTGGGCCTGCAGCCAAGGCCCACAGTCTGCAGAACTAGAAAAGCCTCAAGAAATCTACTGTTGCTGTTTTTTTTTTTTTTTTTGTGGCGCCTGGGAGGTGATCAGAACCTTCGACATGAAGCTGAACATCTCCTTCCCAGCCACTGGCTGCCAGAAACTCATCGAGGTCGATGATGAACGCAAGCTTCGCACGTTCTATGAGAAGCGCATGGCCACAGAAGTGGCCGCTGAAGCCCTGGGTGAAGAGTGGAAGGGTTATGGGGTCCGAATCAGCGGTGGGAATGACAAGCAGGGCTTCCCCATGAAGCAGGGTGTCCTCGCCCACGGCCCTGTGCGCCTGCTGCTGAGTAAGGGGCACTCCTGCTACCGACCGAGGAGGACCGGGGAGAGAAAGCGGAAATGGGTCCAAGGCTGCATCATGGACGCCAACCTCAGCGTTCTCAATCTGGTTATTGTAAAGAAAGGAGAGAAGGACATTCCTGGGTTGACTGATACCACTGACCGTGCCTTGGCACCTAGGACCCCAAAGAGCTAGCAGAATTTGCAAACTTTTCAATCTGTCTTAGGAAGGTGATGTCCGCCAGTATGTTGTCAGGAAACCCTTGAACAAGGAAGGTAAAAAACCCAGGACTAAAGCCCCCAAGATCCAGAGACTTGTTACTCCGCGTGTCCTTCAACACAAACGCCGCTGTATTGCACTGAAGAAGCAACGCACTAAGAAAAGCAAGGAGGAGGCTGCAGAGTATGCTAAACTTCTGGCCAAGAGAATGAAGGAAGCCAAAGAAAACCGCCAGGAGCAGATTGCCAAGCGACGCAGGCTGTCCTCTCTGAGAGCTTCTACTTCCAAGTCGAGTCCAGTCAAAAGTGAAATGCTTCAGTAACAAATAAATTAGATCTGACCTGTATCTCCTTTAAAAAAAGAAAGAAAGAAAGAAAGAAAGAAAGAAAGAAAGAAAGAAAGAAAGAAAGAAAGAAAGAAATCTACTGTTGGGGCCAGGGAGATGGCTCAATAGAATAGGCACTTCCCTGGCAAGCACAAAGGCCTGAGTTTAATTCCTGGTTCTGAAAAAAAAAAAAAGAAAGAAAGAAAGAAAGAAAGAAAGGAAAGAAAGAAAGAAAGAAAGAAAGAAAGAAAATCTACCACACAAAATGTCACAAACTGAGCTGAGCCAATTTGTACTCTGAGGTCACAAAGACTCTGGGGGTCAGTGACAGGAGTCTGGGACCAGTGGGGACAAGCTCAACACCTCCTGGGAAGAATGCTGGAGTGAAACCAGAATGTGTGGCATCCGGCAGGCAGGCTGGCCCAAAGGTGATGTGAGCTCACAGTACAGGTGCCTCAGGGTAGGCCAGGGCACTCCTTCAGGGTGTGGACTCCTTGTTCTACCTCCGTCCTTGGCTGGTAGATGGTCTATTGGCTGGTAGATGGTCCTCCCTCCCTTCCCCTTTCCAGGGACAGTGGTTGCACTGGATTAGGCAGCCTAATTAATTGAGGGAGTCAATGCAGAAGATGAGAATGCATCTGAACTGTGGCTGGAGGGGCATTCACTGAAGGCCTGGCCTCAAGACAAGGATGAAATGACCATGCCTACATATCTCCCTGAGGAACAAACAATAAAGATCAATATTCTAAATACTTATCAGTCATCTGCGTGGGGAACCAGGACCTTGACCCATCCCTTCCAGGAAAGATCCTTGTTTTTTCCACGCATACTGGCTATGTGATCTGCTTCACCACTGATTCAACATTACCTAAGCAGCTATCCATGTAACATTATTGGTTGGTCATAGTTTTGTCCCACCTTGTACTCACCTTGTAATTTCCTACCCATTTTGTGATTTGCTCTTAAAAAGCTTCCTTTGAGAAGTGAGTTTCTCAGCAACCTATTTGCTAGGTTCTCATCTGTCCCTCTTAGGCAGAAGCTGTCTTTCCCTCTATATTTCCCACTTTTAGCTTTCATTGTTCCTTAGAATTCATTATTCGATTTTGGGGGACACAAACTCAGCATGTTGGACACCTAACAGGTTGTAAGTTGGGATATTTCCCTTAAATTTCTGGTGGTCCTCTCTTGTCCCCACAGCAACCCCCCTTGCAGTGATTATGTCTGCAGAGCCATGTGTGATAGCTCCAATATGGTTTAGGGGGTCAGAACACAATCCAACCCCCAAAAGTCAGTGTATATGCAGGTGACCTGAGGAGGTAACCCCAACTGACAGGGTCTCAGTGTCCCTTCTCTCTGGGCCATCATGCCACCTTTTGAAGGAGGAACCTGACACACAGGGTTCTGCACCTAGAGCTAAAGGGTTTAGGCCCCTGGATCTGCCAGGTTGGTAGGGTAGAAGTACCCCCTGTTACCCACTGAGTGTCTATGATCTGCCCAGATTCATGTGTTGGACCCTGACCCCAAATATCATGGGGAGGGCAAGCCAGCAGCGGCGGGGGGGGGGGCAGTCATTGGATCCCCAGAGCATAACCATGGACAGGAAGAGGAAGAGGTGGTAAGCGCAGTGGTCAGCGCCTGGCCAATGGATTCCTAGGGCTTACAGTCAGCCATATTGTCACCAAATCTGTTGCCGCAGACTTGCTTCTTGTGTTCCACTTGTGAAAGGATGGTCCCTGCCGACCTGTGGTATGTGAGTGTGAATGCACGAGGCACACTCAGCACAAGTAGGCACATGGCTGTTCACTGCAACTGATCAGCAATTGATTGCAAACACCTGCCAGGTGCAAACACCCTTCCCAGCACAACATCAAAAATGGACATCATGAAGCAAAAGAAGTTAGGAGATTTTGACTGGAAATAGGAAGAATAGCTCCTGGATTTCCAGAGGGTTCCAAGTAGCAAGACCTTTTGTCAGGAGCATTTTGCACAGCAAAACTACAACGTGGGTACACTGTAGGTCACACGGCAGTCAACCTGTAAGGCTACAAGTGTAGTCGCTTAGTTAATATTGATCTCATAGGGAAACAAGGCATGCAGTAAAGACAAAGAGTGAACATCGTTGACTTTAGTTTATCTACAACTCCTTTTTCTGTTTGTTTATTTTTGGCTTATTGGGACAGTGTCTCACTATACAGCCCAGGAGCTCGGTGCTGAATTTGGGATAATCCTTCTGCCTCAGCCTCCCATGCACCACTCCTGGCTTATCTATAATATCTAATCCTAGGAAGAAGAACAAGAAAAGCATTCCTAGGAAGGGAGGTGACCCAGCTGAGACTGATGTCTATCTGGGCCCATAGATCAGGCCGCGATAGTCACAGCACAATTTCAGACTGCCCTATGTCTCTAGGGAGGCTCCCATTTCTGGCTTTTCTCTTTCCACCTTGAAACTTGGCTGTTCAGATCCACGTGTAGCACAGTCCTGGTGTCTTTCTTTGCACTGGGACCCTAAGGGCGGATCCCTCACTGTCTGCCTGTTAACTTCACCTAACTCATTTTCTGCAGCATAGAACTGCCCTTCGCGAGCCCGGCCAGGTCAACTTGACTCCAGGTCCAGACCCAGGTGCATGGCAAGCAGGGTCCTGTAGGGCCCGGAAGGGGGCCCGGGGCGGGGCGGGGCTTAGGGGACCTGAGGGGCGGAGGCGTTCAACAGTAGGGGACACGGGAGTTCTGATGTCGCTTTTGGCTCCCGGGGGCGGGGCGAAGAATAAGCCTCGCCCCCTCCCGCCGATCTCTGCGCTGGTTCGTCGCCGCCCGTTCCAGGGGTGGGGCATGTAGCAGGCCCGCCCCTACCGCGGCGCGCGCTGAGGTCAGAAGCGGCGGCCGTGTCCCGAGCGCCTGCGCGCCGAAGACACATCCGAGTCCCAGCTGAGCTGCCGCGCAGCCCGCCACCGGCATGGAGGGAGACTGTCGCGTGCTGTCCATCCAGAGCCACGTCGTCCGCGGCTACGTGGGCAACCGGGCGGCCACGTTCCCGCTGCAGGTAGGCTCCTGCGTAACCTCTGCGAAAGCCGTGACCTTGCGGGCCCCGCACGCCCGCCCGGCTCTGCGCCGCTTGCGGCCAGCCGTGACAGGAGCGACGCGCGGCGACTGGAGCGCGGGCGGCGTCTGCTGGCCTCTGCAGTCCGCAGACCCCACGCGTGTAAGACGCTGCCCCACGCCCTCCCGCTCAGGACACTGCTGGCTGCATAGGTGGCAGTCGGGCACCTGGGTCCCCAGTGCAGCTAGTGGCCTTGAAGGGTGACACGGGCCTGAGTACCTCATCGGGTGACTTCTGGACCTACCCTCCTTGCTGGCGGCCGAGCAGGGGCAGACACGAGGTCCTCGGGCCCGGTTGTGCCAGCACCGGGGTCTTCCTGGGCCTGCAGACAGGAAGTGGAATCTGGAGTCACCCGAGGCTGCAGAGCAGGGGTGGAGAGCTCAGGGTTCAAGTTCAGAGGGACTCGTGGCTGCGTGTGGGGCCCTGATGGGAGGTGAGCGGGGCTTCATCCACACCAGCTTCGGCCAACCGGGGCAACCCCTGGGGGTCAGGGTGCGTCTGCCCCTGCCCTGGCTCCCTGAGGTGACGAGGCAGGCCCGAGGAGGTGGCCGTGCTGAAACGAAGGTACCCTGAGCAGCGCCGCCCTTCTGGCAGGGAATCCTTCTGTCTGGTCCTCTCTTTCCTCCCTTCTATCTGCTGACACCCCCTCCCTTTACCTGCCAAGCTCCTCCTTTCTCTGCTCCGAGTCACCCAGCAGGACCCGCTCCCTAGGCTTGTGCCCTCAGCTCCTCCTCCAGCCATCTGGGGGAGCCTGTCAAGGACTGCTGTTTTTACTTGGGCTCTCAGCTTCTTTACCTGTGAGCTCCACGAGGTCCCCTCCCAGCATTCTGGGCAGGAGGAGCAGTTAGATGGGCTGGGACTGGCGGTTGTAGCCTCAGTGAGCACCCAGTGGCTGGGCTCCGAAGGAGCCTGGAAGGAAGCCTTGGGTCTGAGGCAGCATGCCCATGGGGCAGCACCCCCTCAAGTCCAGGGCCACTCCTAGTCTGGGCCAGGGGGAAAGTGGGTCTGTTCAGTTTTGATCGGTGCCACGCAACTCTGGAGTACAGAGTGTTGTCCTCGTGGTTGCATATGGGGAGAAAAAACTTAGGAAATGGGGGAAGATGTCGTCTAGGGTCAGGGCAGAGGCCTACACACGTTTCAGCAGTGTAGATGGGGAGGGAAGACACAGCAGTGTCCCTGATCCTGAAACACCTTCTGGGACCTGGGCCTGGACTCTGAGGCAGTTGCTGTTGGGGTGTCACAGCAGGTGGCACAGACAGGTACTCCCACCAACACCAGTGGCATGGCATAGCCTGGCAGCCTGGAAACTGCCTCCAGAGCACCTCTGCCAGCTCCTCTGCTATTTCTCCCAAACTCCCTAAGGCAGCCACCTATTCTGGCTGAGAACAGAACCTTGACCCTATTTCTACACTTTTTGTTTCTGGGCTGGAGTCCAAGGCAAACTTTAGTGGCTGAAGAGAGAATGTGTTCATGTGACCAGTGCTGGCACTTTGGCCAAATAATCCAGTTTGCAGAGCTCCTGGCCTTCCAGCTCCTGCCCCAGACCCTGGGGGTCGGGGGGGAGAGATTTCCTGCCACTCTGGCCTAAGACTGTAGGGGGGGGAAGGGAAGGGATGGCTGAAGTTGAGGTGCCCTCTTGTCTGCCACCCCCCCCACCAGACACCCCAGGACTGTTCTTTTTTTTTTTTAATTAATTTATTTATTTAGTGTGTATGTGGCCAGCTCAGCCCACCAGGGGGCAGGGCTGGCTGGCATGTGGTGCTGGGGGATTGAACCGCGGTCCCTGTGCTTTGCTCGGCTTAGCTTGTTCTAAGTAGGTGCTCCAGACCACTGAGCCATCTCACCAGCCCCAGGACTGTTCTTTTTACTGTGGCACTGGGGATGGAACTTTGGCCAGCTTTGTGACATCCTTAGTCAATTTTCTTTTGGAAGAAGGAAACCTCAGAGCTGTCTGAGGCTGGGGACTGAGCTCCTGAGCCCAGGTATGCCTGTGTAGCCTCCCAACTATGTGGGCCCAGGATGCTCATGCACCTCCAAACACCCTTCTACCCCACTGCTTCCTGAGCTGGTGAAAATACCATCCAGGAACCTCGGGTTTGAATTCATAAGGGCCAACATGCCACAGACTAGGAGACTTGTGATTGGAATTGAAGTCTGAAGTCAGTGTGGATAGGCTATGCCCTCCCTGGAGGAATACCTGCTCCTAGGGACCCTTGGCCATCTCTCCTGTGTCCCCTCTCCTTCCAAGGACACTGGTCACTGGACTCAATACAGCTATACCGACAGCTTGGTGATCACAGTCTTCCCTTCCAAATGATGGTTCACGTCACCAACTTCTGAGCCTTCCACTAAGCCCTAACTAGGCCTTGTTAAATCTCCATGAGGGTCCTCAGGACTCATACTAGACCCCACCAGGGACAGTCTGCCTGGGGCAGGGACTTTTGTGGACAAAGCAAGTGTGTGTGTGTGTGTGTGTGTGTGTGTGTGTGTGTGTGCATGCACATGCATGCACGGGCAGGGAGTAGGGGGGTGACACAGCTGCTCCCATCTTCAGGATTTCAAGAGCAGACCTGAAGATTATCTGGGTGATCTGAGTGTAGTCACCTGCAGGACAGATGGGCATCATGTGTTTGGAGAGCCCTGGCCTGGCAGCCTGGTTTCCTCACCTGTGCCAACTCCCTGATGGAGGACACTGATAAAGCAGCCAGGCCATGGTGGAAGAGACTTAGGCTCATTGGCAGTGGGACCAAGGGAGCCTTGGTAGTGGGCAGGTCAGGGCCACCTGTGAGGCCAACCTCCAGTGTGGGGCAAGGGTCCCAGCGGGTGTTGACACCTGGCAGAGCCCCCTCCTGCTGACCTGGTCACACAGGGCATGAGACCTTATGCAGAAACTGTGGGCTAGACAGAGGTAGCATTAGTGCTATGGCTGCAGGGGTGGACAGTGCTACCCTGGCACTTCCAGACAGCTCCTTGGACCTCTGTGCTAGTCCCTCGGGTCTTGAACCAGCTGTCAGTGGCAGACAGCTGTGGATGTGGGGCAGGGTGGTGGCTACTGTGGAGCCTTGGAAGCCCTTTGTCACCCTGGATACTACAGGAAATCCTGCCTGTGACCCCTTTCCTGGGAGCTGTGCAACATGACCCTGCAGACTCACAGTGCAGTACTGACCCTGGGCAGGGCTTGCTGTATCACAGTCCTGGAAGTGGGCACTGGCACCCACAGGTAGGCCAGTGCTGTGACAGTGGAGGCAAGCTGCACACAGGGAGTTAGGTTGCATGGGTTGAGTTGAGCCACGGAGGGGGAGATTGACTGAGGGACACAACTATTTCTAAAATGTTCCTCTTGGAAGCTGAGCATGGTGGTGTACACCTGGAGTCCTGGACTTGGGGAGGCTGAGGTAGGAGGATCATGGGTTTCATCTCAGCCTGGGTAACTTAGTGAGGTCCTGTCTCAAAATTAGAAAGGGAAGCTGATGAAGGTGTCAAGGTCCTATAGTTTTGTTTCTCAGTACCAGGAACTGAACCCAAGGCATTTGTACTCAGCTCCATCCCCAGCCCTTTTTTTTTTTTTTTTTTTTTGTCATTTCATGTCAGGGCTCAGTCACCAAGTTGCCCAGGCTGGGCTGGAGTTTGCAGTCTTCCGGGCTCTGCCTCCCAGAATGCCAGGATTACAGGTGTGTGCCATCATGCCTATCTGGTTCAGAGATTTTCAGAGTTCACAAAGTCAGCTGCCAGCATTGTGAAACCACAGAATGGCAGGGCTGAGGCTACCACTGAGGGACGTCAGGCTCTGCTTGTGGACACATGGCCAGGGGCTTAAGGGGCACACTGTGGGTTGGGTGGGCTACAGAGGCACATATGTGGGGTGCTGGGCAGGGTGGGACACCTCAGGTATGAGGTGCTGCTAGCCAGGCTAGTAATAGGGCTCTGGGGCACCCTGGCAGGAGAACAGGTCTGTTACAAGTAGGTAGAGTGTCTACAGGCTGCCCTGGTCCTCTTCTGGAGTCTTCTAGCCAGCTCTTCTAAAAAATGAGCCTATCTGTCCCTCCCTCCCTCCCTCCCTCCCTTCCTGTCCCTCTCCCCCTTCTCTCTCTGGGTTTCTGTGTAATCCAGCCTGAGTTTAAGCATGTGATCCTCCTGCCTCAGCCAATCCCAGCACCAGGCAGGCAGCACCTTGCCCAGCAGAACATGTGCTATTTGGATCTTTTCCTGACCTCTGGTGGATGCTTGAAGCTGGTGTAGGGTGCAGAGTTCCCTGGTGTGGAGGCCTGTCAAGGAGGGCGGGGTACAGGAGAGGAACAGTCAGCTGGTGCTGAGGAGGCCTTGGGTCTGCTTTGGGCATGAGCAGAAACGTGAACTTTCTGGGGTAATAGCTGCATTAGACCTGGGGTGTACATCACACTCCTGATCATGTGGCCCATGGCCCATCACTGAGGCCTTCTGTGTCAGAGCTCCTGGGTCACCTCTGTCCCCAAGGGCTGGGTGGTATCCTGGGTAGAGGTCATGGTTTTGCGACACAGAGGGGCCACATGTAATCCTTTCTCAGAGTGCCTGGGTCTGGGTTTCCTGTGAAACCAGGTGATTGCCCCTAGGGCAGTATAAGGGCAGAAGTGGCCCGGGATAATCCTGTTGGCCTCTTGATCTATCCCCATGCAGAGACACACAAAAGATTTCACAGTGCCAGAACTCTGTGTCTGCCCCACATGCCGGGTGTCTGTGCACAGGGTCCCCTTGCCTGCCTTGGGCTGTGCTGGGCAGCAGGGTGGGTGACAGGGACCTGCAGGGGCAGGGACATCTCTGCCTGGGGAGGGGAGTGGGACTTCTCCTTCCCTGCACTGGGGCAGGTGCCATGTCCAGAGACCCTACAGGGCACAGTGACATTTCCAGCACAGGGTGGGTTTGAGTTTACAGAACCCAGGGTCAGGTCCTGGCTGCGGCCACATTCGCAGGTCTGGTAGAGAGGCGGCCCTGGGAATGTTGAAATTTTGGAACTGGCACATGATACCCATTAATAAGTGATTGAATGAGGATGTTTGGAATGGAGGCGCCTGCCCAGAACCTCTGTGCTGTCCTCCGAAGGCAGAAAATAGCAACTTCCCACTCAGGATTAGTCATCTGCACATCAAAGCAGCAAGCAAAGGTTTCTGGCAGGGTATGCAGGGCTGGTGTCCCCATGGCTCATCTCTGTGATCAAAGCTGATTAGAGACATAGGGAGCTGCAGCCCCACAGCTCGGCCAACCAGAGGCCCCTGCAGCATCCGGCAGGCGTGCTGGTGAAGCATCGCTGCTCACCCAGTGGGAATAAGGCTGCTCCTTTTTGTTGCATTGCTCCAGCAGTTATGCTGGCTTAGACATTTAGACCAGCCTTCATCAGTGCAAATCCAGGTGTGCCGCTCCTCATGTTGGCCCACACTGAGAAGCAGGGGTGAAGACCATCACCAGGCCCCCAGCCCTTGGGGGCAGCCACTGTCCTCACTGGTGGCCTGTCTGTCCATCTGCCCACCTGGCTCTGCTTCTCTCTCACCCTCACTCTGCATCCCTTAGACCCTGTCTGTAACTTGTCTGTTTTGTTCTGGGGTTCTAGCAAGGGAAGGCCCCATGCTCTGTTCCACCTTTGCCCAGAATAAGTGACAGCTGGGTCCCAAGAATGTCCATGCTCCTGGCCTCTGTCCTATCTGCCTGAAGGCCCTGGCTCCTCTGGATCTGCAGGGACAGGCTACTTGGCCTTCAGGCCAACTCTTTTGAGGCCTGGGTTCCCGACTGCCACAGCCACAACCCCTTGGTGGCACCTGCAGTGTGGGACACAGCTGGCCAGGCTCTGGCATAGCAGCTCTGGGTAGCTGGGACCTGCCTGGAAGTATGGACCCCTGGGGAGGACTGGGGACAGCAGCATGGGCATGGCTTGGCCTGTGGGAGTGGTGCAGGTGAGCTTTGAGGAAGGGAGGGGACAGTGGCTCTGTGGGTGGCTGGAGCCATGCAGGCAGTAGTGGTAGCCATTCACACTGTCCTAGGGTGCAGTGTGGACCTTGCATCCTGGCCAAAGCCCTGGGGCTTCAGCATGTGGAAGTGGACCGGAAGAACCTGCTGTGGTGTGGCCCATGTGGCTCTGTGCAAGCCAAGAGTGAGTTTGGGCCCCTTGTTAGGACCCTGACTCCCGGAAGCCAAGTGAGGTCACACTGCATTGTGCCGGGCTCCAGTGGGGCCCTCCTAGGGTGTACTGTGTCCCCTCTTCCTGCATTGCCTCCTTGCCATAGGGTGGGAACCCTGGCTCTTCCCCCACATCACACCGAGGACCTGGCTGGAGTCCTTGGCTCTGTGCTGGGTGGCTCCAGGGAGTGACACAGTGGACACTGGTGCTGGTGACCAGCTCTATGTGGATGAGCCTGGTGAGGCTGGATGAAAGCTGGGGAGTGTTTAGCTGGGGAGTGTGACTAGGACATGTGTCCTAGTCACATGTCTGCTGCCCACACCTCAGGGGCTGAGTGCAGAGAGTGGCTCATCCTGAATAAGTTCTCACACCAGGGTAGCTGGGGACATCCAGCCTCTTTAGACATTGCCCCCTTCTCTTCAGCTCAGAAGGACATGTTGAATCAGTTTTTTACCTCAGTGCTAGTTCTGCACTAACTCATGACCTGTAGCTTCTAGTTTTCTTCAGAAAGCTTTTCTGTATGCCATGAGTGAACGTGCTAATGTTTGCAGGTCCCTGACCAGAGTGTCCCTGTGTGACCCTGGTGTCCTGGCAGCGCCCGGGCTGGGTGCAGGGGAGTAGCCTGGCTGTGACTATAGGGAGGGGGTCTGGGTCCTGCAGAGCCTCCACTCCCTGGCAAACAGTGTGTTTGGTGGGGTACTGAGCTCAGGAGGACTGGCCTCTGGGGGCCAGGCTGGAAACCCACAGTCTCCCACAGATAGCCCCTACTCCCTGCGCCATCTGAGCCTGGACACTGCATCTCACAGGCACTCTCCAGGTGGCCCCCTGAGCATTGATGTGCTGGGTGGGACCTTTGGCTCCTGTCTGGTTGCTTGAGTGGGCAGCAGGCTGTCATCAGGCACCCAGTGGGGCTTGTGGGGCCCCCTCAGCCTCTCAAACCACACTCTGCTGTGTCTCACAGGTCCTGGGGTTTGAGATTGATGCGGTGAACTCCGTCCAGTTTTCCAACCACACAGGTGAGGCACAGCTGAAGGGTTGGGCCATCTCCCTGACACCCTGTTATTCATTTGAGGTCCCCATGAGATGAGCCCCTGTCCCCTCCAGCCTCCTTCTGCCACCATGAGGTCCCAGGTTAGCCTTGGCCTACAGCATAGCAGGGCTTGTCTACATGGCATGTCTGCTTAGGAGTGAGGCTGGGGCCTCACAGCTGTCCCTGGGAGGCCATGGAGCTGGTAGACAGGGTGACACAACCCCTGCATGCCCATGGGAACGTGGCACCATGGTGTTGTGTGTGCCTGTGGGCCAGGGGCCATGGTGGCCACATCTGGGGGCCGTGTCCTGAATGTGAGCACAGGACTTGATGGTGGAGGTGCCTGGCTTTGTCCCTGAAGTGCTGATTAAGGTCTCAGGAGGGGAGACCACTGGCCCATCCCGGCCCTGATGTGGCCTCCCAGCCTGTGGACCGTTCCCTGCAGGGTACACACACTGGAGTGGCCAGGTGCTGAACTCCAGTGAGCTCCAGGAGCTGTACAAAGGCCTGAAGCTCAACTGCGTGAACAAGTATGACTACGTGCTCACAGGTGAGGCCCCACCTTGGCTGGCCTTGTCACACCCCTGGTGGCATGGGGCGTGGGGACACGGCTCCAGCCAAGAGTGTAAGGTGTCCTGGGAGGGGCGAGTATGGGAACACTGTCCTCAGAGAAGCATGCAGTGCTGCCTCGTGGAGCCAGAGATTTACTTGTCAAGTTCCCATCTGAAAATACTCTCTTGTTAGGCTTCAGTTAAAAGTGGCATATGCTTGCCTGCAATCCCAGCACTCAGGAGACTGAGCCAGGAGGATGGCTGTGAGTTCGAGAGCAGCCTGGGCTACAAAGTGAGCTCAAGGCCAGCCTGAACTGCATAGTGAGACCATCCCCAAAAGACCAAAAAAAAAAACAGTGACATATATGTATTTTTTTTAATGGAAAATAGAGAAAAAGGAAAAATTTTCATCCACCTATCACCAATGGAATTGTTCATTTAGAACTTCATGGGACCAAATGTGGTTGTACTCGCCTGTCATCCCAGCAAGCTGGGAGACTAAGGCAGGAGGATTGCAAATTCAAGCCAGCCAACACATCTCATGACTTAGTGAGATCCTATTAATGTCCCCTGCCAAAACCCCAAAGCCTTCCTGCTTGGAAAGGGTGTGGTCTGCCTTTTATGACCTCAGACTGTGGGGTCCTCGTGCTGGCCTGGACTTGGGTCTTAGGCCATCTCCACTGCCCCTATGGAGGGCGGCCTGAGTGTTGATGTTGCTGCTCAGTACCTATCTCAGACCATTGCTGGTTCCCCTAAAGGGTACACGAGGGATGCGTCTTTCCTGTCCATGGTGGTGGACATTGTGCAGGAGCTGAAACAGCAGAACTCACGGCTTGTATACGGTGGGTGCTGGGCTGGGCTGAAGGGGCCCTGGGGTGGGCGAGGGCCAGACCCCTTATCTGCTTGCTCAGAGCAGCCTGCTGTGCAGCTGGGGCCCATCTGAAGCCTACTTCAGGCACTGGCCTCCAGAATGTGCCAGGGCTTTCCTCGCTGGCTGCAGTCACCCTCTTCAAATGTGCTCAGACGGAGCCAACTAGGGCTTGGGGAGGTTCATGGCCTGAGCTGCACCAGCTGACAGAATGTGTCTCCACAGTGTGTGATCCAGTGTTGGGCGACAAATGGGACGGTGAAGGCCGCATGGTAAGTGCACGGGTGTAGGGGGCAGCTGTGCATGTAGACAGCCTCTCCTGAGAGGGACCCGTGGCTGGGCACATAGCAGGGACCCTAGGCTGTCACTATGGGCAGCTGTTGTGCAGAGGAGCCAAACAGAGCATGGCTGTCTCCTAAAATGTCATCACGGCAAGCCCTGAACTAGAATTTCCTGCAACTCTTATGTCAGCAAATGTTTTTGTCCTGGTTTTTCCCATAATCATTGAAAGTACAGAAATCTTTCTGGTCTCCCAGACTAAAGAAACAGGCAGTAGATGGTGGGCTCCACACTCTTGCCATGTGGTCAGGTGGACATCTGCAGGGCTCTGTCTTCCAGCCATTGAGATAGACGGAGCTCACAGGCCAGCTGAACTCGGCTGCCTAAGTCAGGACCTGTCACTTGGCCCTGTGCTGGCATAGTCTGATCTGTCACTCATTGGGTACACAAACATAAGAGTGTCTATACTGCCACTGTGCACCTCTCTCCAGTGCCTGTGGTCAGTGGTGAGGCCAGGAGAAGTAGGTGTCTCAGACACCAGCCTCCTCCACGCCTCCTGTGTCCCTGCTCAGCCCCCCACTGCAGTCTCAGCTGGCCCAGGAGACACCTGTCCAGCTCAGTGTGGACCACACCTACTGGGCAAGGTCAGGCTGTATTTTCCTCCTGAGCCATGGTTGGGTAGACATCAGTGTTAAGTTTAGGTCAGTAGGAATCCTGTGGCCACGGAGGATTGGAATCCCAGGATGGACTGGAGATGCCCTTTGGCTGCTGCCCACAGAGCAAGCACAATCCTCTGAGACCCAACACACGGAGCCGGAGCTTGGGGCCCTTTTTGAAGAAACTGGTAGCTAAAGAAAGCAGGCACTTTTGTGGTCATGAGGAGGCCACTCACAGCACAGTAAAGGTCAATGGGGAGACACCTGAGAGCTCCCTGAGTCAGGTGACCCAAAGCCCCACATTCACATCACACTGTGGCCACCTCCACTCCCGACCAGAGCCCCAGTCCTGCCTTCAGGACAGCCAGGTGCCTGTCTGCCCCACTGCCTTGCTGGGTCCTAGGGCTGGGATGGCTGTGGGATCTTCAGGCACAGGCCCTGCTGCCCTCTCCTTCTGGTGTAATGACTGCCCTGTCCCCATGCCACAGTACGTCCCAGAGGACCTCCTTCCCGTGTACCGAGAGAAGGTGGTTCCCGTGGCTGACATCATAACCCCCAACCAGTTCGAGGCCGAGTAAGTATAGGGAACCCCTGGAGGGCACTCAGCAGCTGTCCCCAAGCTGCTTGGGGGCTGGGGGTAGGGGTCAGGTCACCTGGGTTGGGGTGGCCAATTCACTGGGGTCGAGGGACCTGGCCTGGCCACAGAGTGCACTCACTGAGCTCCCTCAGGGGCCCTGCTGCCCCACAGCATCTTCCTCAATGACCCACTGCCTTGGAGACACAGGAAGGAGGACACACAGGTCTCTCTGGGGCATCAGGGGACCAGATCAGCCCCTACATTTTATGGGTGGCCCCTGACTTAGAGCCAGACACCAAGCAAAAACTGCCTGTCACCTGAGGGTGGGGGTGGGGGTGGCACCCTATGCCCTTAGGCCATGAACTGAGTCCCCACAGGCCCTGACTTATGCTACTAGGCTCCTTACCAGCAGCTGGGGTTCTCCAACTTGGTCCCACCTGTGGGCAGGGGGAGGGGAGACATCTCACCTGGAGGATCTGAACCTTGAGGGCTCCCGGGATTGCTTGGGCTGCCTGCAGTCCTCAAAGTCCCTTTGCATTGTCACCCTCATTGGTGCTGTGGGTCGCTGGGCACTGTACCTTGCTGTGGTCAGTCCAACCTGCCCAGGCCCTAGCAGAGACTCTTCTCTTGACCCCTTGCACATGTGACAGTGGCCCCAGCTCCTGAGACTGCAATGCTGAGGTGGCCCTGGGCTCATGGTGCCCTGCTCGCCTGCCTTCCAGGTTGCTGAGTGGCAGAAAGATCCGCAGCCAGGAGGAGGCGCTTGTGGTGAGGACCCTCAGCCTAGAGTGGAGTGGGTGGGGACATAGGGCCTTCCTTCCCCCAGCTGCTGGTGCTGGCCCCAGGTCCTTGTCTCTCATGGGCCACCTCTCCCTGTGTGATGGTTCCTGGAAAATGTCCATTGCCCTGGACCCTAGGGCAGGCTCTAGGGTCACGTGGAACTGGGAGGGGGCTGGGAGGGGCACACTCCAGCATGTGCGGTGTTGTTTGAGTAGACTGGGTGTAAGCACACGTGTGATAGCCAGTGCGTCATGAGTGCCAAGTGTGACACACATGTGCTTGGTGCCCAGGCATGTTGTATGTAGTGGGATTGATGGCTCCCTTCTGTGCCCCATCCTGTGGTGCAGGACCTAGTGTGTTCCCCACAGCACAACTGGAGGCAGCTTTGGTGAGGATGGGAACATCTATGAGGCCAGAAAAACCAACCCAGAGCCAGGAATAGGGCAGATACACCTCTCACACAGCACTCTTATCTCCCTCTGAGGAGGGTTACAAGTTTAGGGATTGCCAGCCTAGATGGTTTATCAAGACCCTGTCTCAAAAGAAAAAAAAATGAAAAAAGGGTTGGGGATGTCATACAGTGCAGATACCCTGGCCAGCTTGTAGAGCGGCTGGCTCTGGGTTGCTGGGGTTGGGCCATCCACCTGGTTCCTTGCCTAGTGCCTGGTGTGGAGACCCCACTGCTCTGGCCGGGACCTCAGTTTCCCCCTACCCCCTTCCAGTTCACAGCCCTGGTGCAGGTGAGGCTCCAGCCTTGCCCCGGTCCTCAGCACTAAGTGCAGTGAGGGTGGCGGCCACCCATGCCCTTCCCCAGCTTGGACTCGTCCTGACCAGGGCTCTGTGCCACCCTCACCTGCAGGTGATGGATGTGCTGCACTCCATGGGCCCTGATACCGTGGTCATCACCAGCTCCAACCTGCCCGCCCCTAGGGGCAGCGACTACCTGATCGCCCTTGGCAGCCAGAGGACGCGTGAGTACCCAAGTTGTCCTCACACAGTGCACCTTTAGGTGCCAGTCGCCCATAACCTCAGCACTCTGGGAGGCTGAGGCAGGAGGATCACAAGTTCCAGCCTTGAAAGCTTAGCCACTTAGGGAGACTGTCTCCAAATAAAATTTTAAAAGGATTAGGGATGTACTTCAGAGCAGAGGTACTGAGTTTGATCTCCTGTACTGAAAAAAAAGTTTTGCTCAGTGGAGGAAGAGTGCCTCTTACTCCGTGGGCGATTAATTTCTAGAGCTTCTGCTGACTCTGAGGAAGGTCTGGCTGAGGCAGACACAGGATGAGTTCCGCACGGCAGGTACTAGGGAGGCCTGTGCTTGGATGTCCATGCCGCACCGCGGTACCAAGATGGCATTGGGGCCAACAGGCATCCTTGGGCCCCTGAGCATCTGGCCAAACTCCACTGGGAGCTGTTTTATTCTCAGAGCCAGGTAGCTGGTTATTTAGATCCCCCGCATTTATCTTCTGAACGGTGTCACAGCGACACAAGCTAGGTCACACAGAGTTCACTGCGGCCCCAGCAAGCATTCCAGTTGGGCCCTGACGTACCTGCATGCATGCACACACCTGCAAGCACAAGTATGTGCACAGCCAGGCAGTACACATGCTCAGGACTGCAGTCCCTGACAAGCTTTCGGGGCTGGGGAGATGACTCAGTAGAATAAGCACTTCCCTGGCAAGAGCAAGGGCCTGAGTTCAATCCCCGCTTCCGCCCAAAAAAAAGTGTTCCTTGACAAGCTTTCCTGCATCCCCAAGAACATCCCTTGGGACAAGGGTGGCAGAGGCACCACACGTGCTCCAAGTCCAGGCTAAGCTCTGAGGCCCCCATCACTGGGGGACGTAAGGGGTCAGGGCAGCTTGAAGCCTGCTGACCAACTCCTGTCTCCCCCAGGGAGGCCTGATGGCTCCACGGTGACCCAGCGCATCCGCATGGAGATGCGCAAAGTGGACGCTGTCTTCGTGGGCACTGGGGACCTCTTCGCTGCTATGCTGCTGGCGTGGACACACAAGCACCCTGACAATCTCAAGGTCAGACCACCCTGCACCTGCCGTCTCCTGTCATGTCATCATGCCTTGAAGCACTGGTCATAGGTGCATGGGAGGGTGGCACAGGACCCCGTCTCATCGGTCTATCTCGTGCCCTCATCCTGGGAAGCGGGTGACCAGTGTGCTGCAGAGCTTGGGTGGGTGCTGGGCTGGCCTGCTGGAGGCTCAAGGTTCAGGCCCACAGGTGCAGGTTGGAGGCCTGTTCCTGCCTGCAGAGGGCAGCATGGTTCCTGGTGCTCTGGCTCTATGAGTTGTGGGTGGGTGAGAGTCCCCCGAGGCTGGGCCTGCCAGGGTGAGGAACTAGAAGAGGTGCTGGGCACAGTGGCTGCTGTGGTGGTTCAGAGTATCGGGCGGGGCACAGGCTTCCTTGTGCGCTGTGGTTAGGTTCATAGGTGAGTGGGGACAGGGAGTTTGATTCCTCTCCTGCCGCTGGTTCTCTGCTCTTCTGCACCACTGTGGGAAGCTGCACTGCACACTGCTCAGACTGGTTCTGTCCAGTGCCTCAGTCAGCAGCTGTGCAGCCCTCATGCTGTGGAGAGTGAGGGGGAGGGCGCACATTGGGGGAGGCTGCCCAGCACCACAGCCCTAGCCCTGGCCCTGCTCAGTGAGTAACTACCAGAAGTAGACTTGGAAAGCCACCTGCACACTGGCCCTGGACATGTCCCTTGCTGCCCAGGGGGTTGCTATCCGTCAGAGTGAGAAGGGCAGGGGAAAGGTCCAACACCGCCATCACTGTTGGGGACACTCAGGGAAGCAGGGCAGGGAGTGTGATTGTTCAGGTGGCCTCACAAGATGCTAGAGCTGCTGGGCACCATGTTCCCAGGCTTGACCATGCTGCTGCCAGCAGGTCCACTGGCCGCTCTGCTCCATGGCTGTGAAATGAAAAGGTGGACAGAGGCCTACTTGCGACCAGCCCCAGGTAAACCCTAAACTCTTGGCCAGACCAGGCCCCCTTACTGTTCATCCCACCAGCTATCCTAGAGGCCACACTGAACCAGGCCTGCAGGTTAATTGGTAGCAGTGAGAAACTTGCCAAAGCCCAGACAGACAAAGCCAGGCTCCAGGCCAGCCAAGACAGGGTGTGGGGCTGGGCTGAGTGCCACTGGGGCTCCCAGGCCCCTGCCCTTGATGTCACACCCCAAAAGGAGCACTTCTCTGTGTAGACTTTAAAACTGACTGATCCCAGAACCCTGGGTACACGCACACCAGCTTCATGCTAGGCAGTGTCACAGAGACCTGGGGTACGGCCCCTCCTTGCCCAGTGCCTCCCATGCACAGGATGTGGATAACATAGCTTGCACCACACGAATCACTTTCCAGCACCATAACAAAATCCTTGAGGTTGTCAGGTATGGTGGCTCATGCTTGTAATCCCAGCACCTAGCAAGCTGAGGCAGGAGGATCACCAGAAGTATGAGGCCCGCCTGTACTACATGGTGAGACCTTGTCTCTAAAAAAACAAAAGGAAATTCCCAGAGGTTGTAGGTACATACAGGGGTGAGGTGCTCAGCTCACAGTGTGGAGTTCCATCCCCCAGGGTCAGCCCCATTGCTCCTGGATGGGTGGCAGCACCATGGTGGGACCAGTGATGGCCACCAAAGGCAAAGAGGGAGAGAAGGAAAGTGTCTGTCTCCTTTGAGGTCCATGCGCACAAAGACCCCCGGGCCTCCCGTGCCTAGGAACCCTACTCACCTGCACTGCAGCTCCCTCAAGCTGTTTCTGGCTGGGCATCCGCAGGTGGCATCTGGAGCCTAGCCCTGTCTGGTGGAAGCCACTCCCTCGTGACTCAGGGCATCAGGCAGGAGGGGAGTGCAGTAGCCAGCATGGCATCTCATTCCTACAGGTGGCCTGTGAGAAGACTCTGTCAGCCATGCACCATGTTCTGCAGAGGACCATCCAGTGTGCCAAAGGTACCACACCACACTTGGCTTGGGAACAGGCGGGAGGGAGGAGGAGGCAGCCCACACTGCTACAGAGTGGAGCTCCCATGCCTCAGGAAGCTGGGTGAGAGGGGACCCGCTTCAGGGGCTTGGACCCTCCCAACCCTCATTCTGCAGCCCAGGCTGGGGAAGGACGGAAACCCAATCCAGCCCAGCTAGAGCTGAGGATGGTCCAGAGCAAGAAGGACATTGAGGACCCCGAGATCGTCGTCCAGGCCACTGTGCTGTGAAGGCTGCACATGCACACACTCACCCGACACTCACGACCTGTTGGTGTCTCCGTCTCGTCCCTGTGAAACCTGTAATGTCTGCCTTAGAGCTGTGACTGAAACTTAACATTCGTCCCCCTATGAGTGCCGGGCATCGCCCGTCTCAGTTGTGAAAATGTGCCAGTCGTCCCTGCTACAGAACCACAAAGCAGCCCCCGGAAAGTGGTGACATGGACACAGCCCTCCCCAGGTCCCAGGCTCAGGTGTTCTGTGTGGGTGATGGCCCCTGGGTGGCAGTGGCTGGCCCGCTGCCCTGCGGACCCCGGTGTCTGGCCACTGGCTGCTGCGGCTGCACAGAGCCCTCCCACGTAGGCTGGCTGTGTGACCTCTGACGTTGAGTGGCGTCTGGAAGAATCACGCAACCTATGTGCTGTCACCCTGGTCTCTGCCTCTCTGTTCCTGCATTAGTCTGTGTCATCATCTGCTGCCTGTTGAGTTGGGTGTCCCCCAGTATGCAGCCACTGGACAATATAGAAGGTGCCTGTCACATTCAGGGGTACCTGGGTGTGGTCACCACCATGGGGCCTTTCTAGAACCTAGTGTGTCCCATCAGTCTGCAGACCTCACAGGTGGCAGCAGGACTTCCTGTGACTTGGGGTCAACTTGTAGGCACCTGCTGCACAGTGAGAGGGACATGCTGGTATGATGAGGGCAGCTGGTGATTCTCGGGGAAGCTTCCACACTAGGTTGCCTGTGGTAACTCGAGATGCAGGTTGGTGGGCACTACGTGTTTGTCACACACTGCTGGTGACAGCACTAAGCAGGATGAAGTATGCACTGTTGAGACCTTGCCTCCCTGGTTCCCTCCCAGCACAGAGCCAGCCACATGTGGCACTGTGAACATGGTGTTCACCAGCATAGCTCCAGGTGGTGTTCCTGCCCCCTTGCTCAGTTAGGGTTTGTGTGTGGGGAGTGCAAAGGTTGCTCTCCTGGGAGTACCCTTGGACCAGGGCAGCTCTAGGACAACAGGTGCCTGGGCCCCTGCTGTGTGTCCCAGGCCTTGGCCAGCATCCCTGGCAGGAAGATGCCTCCCCTTTGCTGCTGATGGGACTCTGGAACTCCTCCCCAGGTCACACAGGAATGTGGCAGCACTCCCCCTGGGAGTGCTCCCTGACTAGGCCCATGGCCCCAGCACAGAAAGGTGTTTCTGATCCCCAAGGCTGCTCCTCTGAGTTTGTGATGGAGGGGGAGCATTGGGGGAGGGACAGGTTGTCAGGCACTGGACAGGAGGGGCAGCAGTGCCCCTCTGTCCCTCTCCGGTCTCTCTCACTTCCTCTATCCCTCTCTTCCAGTGGTGACAAAGCCTGTATCTTGGGTGACTGTTGCCCCGGGGGCACAGAATAGGTGTGTGTGTTGGGCCCTTGGGGCAGGGCCCTGCCTGATGCCAAGTTCTTGAGCTCAGAGGCATGGACCTTTTCCCGTCACAGAAGGTGACAAGTTCCCCTCTTGAGAGCTTCCTGTGGAGCTGTGATCTCTTGCTCAAGCTGCCGGTTTCCTTGGCTGTGTATCCTGGGAGATTCAGCAAGAGGACGTTGGGCCTCAGAGGATGGCTTGAGTGTCCAAGCCCCTGATGACCACAGACCTGGGCAGGAAGGATGGTAGGGAGGTGGTGTGGCCTCGTGGGCAGCGCTGCCCAGCACCACACATGGAAGAAGGGACGAAGGGTGTGCGCTTCCTGGGAAGTGGTATCCGCCTATCTGACTGTCCCTCCCGACAAGCACAGGTTCTTACGCACAGCAACACCAGCTCTCTTGGGCTTGTTTCCACAGGACAGTGTGGTCCCATGTTCTTGGGTCCCCACACAGTTTGCCATCAGAGGCAGCAGGTGCTGGTAGTGGTTGTGGACACAGCTTGGATCCAGATTGGAATTGTCCTTTGTTTTTACTGTCCATAGCGACACACAAAATAATCTAATTTATTTTGAGGTAGCAGTCCCTGTTGCCTGCTTATTGTTAGGAGACAGGATTTTAATATTTTATTAATCCAGACCGTAGGAAGGAAATAATAAATATGGTCTTTTTAAATCAATTTTAAATCATTGCCTCGTCCTGCCCAGGTAACTCTGTGCCTCGATCGATATTTTTAGTCTCTTGTCAGTGATTGTAAACAGGATGCTTCATTTCAGGTCCTGATCTTGAAGTTGTTGGAACCAATTTTTAAAGCACTTAATTTTACAGCAGACCAAGAAGGCTCAGCCTTGCGCACTGCCGGTTGCAGGAGGCTGCTTGAGGGCAGAGGGCAGCCTGCAGTGCCGGGCACCCTGTCCTCAGCGTCCAGTGTTGGAGCTCACGTCTCATGCTGTACATCACTGAGGAAGGCAGGCTGCTCAGTCACTGGCCCTGGACAGCTCCTGACCCCACACTTCAGCCTCCTCATGTCCTCCTCCAGGACAAAGTACAGAACCAGGAGGTGACAGTATCCTGGTCCCTGGACTCCTTTCCTGTCTCCTCCCTGCCCTTTCACGGGGTCACCTGCTTGGGGACATCAGGGTCCCCATCTAAGTTGTTGCTCTGAGGTATCCAGGGACCAGCTGTTCCCCTGGGCCTCCATCCTGTCCCTGTCCTTGGGGCCAGAGAAAGGGGCTGGAGCTTGAGGTAGAGAGCACAGAGTGCTGATGTGGCTTCCTGGGGATCCACCTGTCCCCAGAGTGTCCTCTGCCCTTGGCACTGCTCCCCAAACTCCACACAGAGCTGTGTGCATTGTCCCCCTGGAAAGCCATGGTGTTGGCAAAGCACGTGGGGTGGGTGCTGGCCTCCAGGAAGCCAGGCCCTCAGTGTGCAGGTCCCATGTGAGCTCCTGGCCAGGGAAACCCTGAAGTTGGGCACAAGGGGAACTGAGTCCTGTACCCTTTCCATGCCTCTGGTTTCTCTGCCATGTGCTTCCGGCCTCACCAGCAGGGAGCACCTTGAGCCCAGAGGTAGACAAGTGGGCAGAGCAGGGTCCCTGCCCACCCCCTGGCAGATATACCCTCAGCTGCCCTTCTTGAGGACTTTTGAAATGTTTTCTGTTGTCACATGCCTGGGCCCACTTTCCCAGGCTGTGGCCCTGCATGTCACTCTGCTCTTCATGCACAAAAATTGGTGAAAGCCAGTCTCACATTCCAGTCGCCTTGTGACTCATGCAAGAGTCACTGTAGGTCTGACAGTGAATACTGTGAAATCTCTGGAGAGTGAAAGTTAGGCCTAGAGGTGTTTTTATTTTTTAATTGTATGAAGATAGTGTTTGAAAAGATCCCAGCTGCCTGACCCAAGCAGGCCTTGTCTTCACTTGGGATGCCTGGCCTAGTATAACCAGGCCTCTCTTCCCTCTCTGCCACTGTTTCTGGTCTTTTTGTAACTGGACACTACTTTGGGTGGGAAACGCCTTCCCTAACCAGGGGTGTCCACCTGGCAGTGGGACATCTCTGCAGCAGCCAGGTGGAAGGGGAAGAACATGTACTATCCATGGGAAGCTGGTCCCAGGCAGAGGTGAGTGGCAGCACCCATCCCTGTCTGGAGCTGGGTCTGTGGTCTCAGAGGCTTCCTAAGTTGTATTGTCATGTGTGACCAAGCTTTGCTCTAGAGCGTGTGTGCTAGGGCCGGTGGGACAGGAAGCAGAATCCAGGTGTGCCACAGCCCGGCCCGCTGATGCGTCCCAAGGGGTACAGCTGGGGCCAGGGCTATTCCCACACCACACCTGGACCTGTGTGTGTGTGTGTGTGTGTGTGTGTGCTTGAGAAATGGAAGGGAGCTCACTCCATGCTGTCTTGAGGATAAGACAGGGGTGACTGGGAATGTTTTCAACTTCAGCTGCACAGCCCCGGGGTGGAGCTTTAGCTGGAGTTTCATTCAATCACTGCAAAACTGGACCAACAGGTAGACAGAGGCTCGGCTCCTCTACTTTTGAGCAAAGCACACGTTGCCCACAGGCCTTGTTGTGGTAGGCAGGCTTGGGGTCAGGTGATCAGAGGGCCCTGGCGCCTGCCCTCCCCACCGCCCACCCCATACCCCATGTCTGTAAATGTGACCTCTTCCCTCGCTGCTGTGTAGCCTTCTCTGTGTTGTGCTGGTCCCACTGATTCTGTGATTATCCACAAATAAATATTTTCATGCAACTATGTGGCAGTGCTATCTCTTTCCACCTGTTCCCTACGTCACCTGTGTGGTGCTGTGTTCCACCCAGGTGGCTGAGGCCCTTGGATCCTGCACTGCATTCTCACTTTCAGGGGTCCCCTGGGGTTGTCTCAGGACTGAGGTGGGGGCCACTTCCCAGCACCTCTCTGCCAGACCCTTGGGCCTGAGGGCTGGCTTCAGACATGGGCCAGGGTCTGCTCCTTCTTGCCTAGATGGTGAGGTTGAGATGCTGTTAGCAGAGGCTAGGGAAGAGATCTCTATGGGGATCACTGGGCACCAAGGCTGAGGGGCGTGGCCACACAGGAAAGGGATGAGGGGGCTTGTGGGCCACACCCCCAGCCCTCTGCAGAGCACTCAAGCTGCCGGCTGAGCAGTGGGCGCTGGGCACTCACTGCAGAGAGGCCAGGCCCAGGCTGCGAGGACACCTGCTGCTGTTGGCTGCAGCCTCAGCCCTTTGCCCTCATGCTGCTTCTGACACGATCGAGACCTGGAGAGCCAGGGTCCTGACCTCAGCCTGATCAGGACAGTGGGGTCAGCGCAGTGCAGAGCTGGGTGCTGGGTACCCCGTCTGGCAGCACAGAGGTGGTGCATGCGCTGCCCGGGCAGGTAGCCCATGGACACCGAGAGGCTGACAGTGTCCTCTGTGCAGGTGCCCTGGTGTTCCCCGAGAGGACGCGGATCTGCCCCACAGCACCCGCACGCTCAGCGCAGAATGGGTCATAGCAGAGTTTAACAGTGCACTCGGGCAGTACAGAGACAGGCCCTGTCTCCTACAAGGGGGCCGTTTCTGCTGCTCTTCGGGGTAGGAACCTCAGGAAAAGCCGGCCTACTGCACAGTGACTGACGCAGGTGTGTTTCTGTGATGGGTGATTGAAGGGTTCTTTGAATTCCCTGGCATGTCCTTTTCTTGAAATCTGGCTCCTGCCCTTTCTCAGCTAAGCCCATATGAGACCTGCAGTATTCTTAATGACTTCAGTGTGGCGGGTGCACAGGGGAGGTGCCCAGAGGATCTGCCCAGTGACTGGCTTCTCAAAAGCACCACTCTGAGTCAGGTGCTTCAAGTCTTCCTTCATGTCTTCATTTGCTTCCCTGGTTGTCCTGCCCAGCCCTCTGCATGGGGCAGTGTGCAGACAAGGGGCCCCGGACTGGCATGGGGAGAAGCGACCCTGGTGAGCACTTGATAGAGGTGGCCCTCCCCTCTTGGGGGCCTGAGGCAGGGATGGGCTGGCCCCTGGCTGGCACCTACTCAGGTTTGGTATCCTAACCCAGAGGGTGACAAGGTGAAAAGCGTCCTTGAAGGATGGCTCCTGTGGGTGGACACAGGACTCTCGGCTGACAATGCACTCCTCCAGGGGCTTCAGGCCAGGCTGACCCTGGGCAGGGGACCCTGACTAGCCTGTCCCTCCTGCCATGCTGGAGCCTGGCCCAGCAAGGCATACTGCAGCCAGCATATGGAGGACAAAGAGCAGCTCCTGGGCTGGGACCCTGGAGAAGAAGCCACAGAGGCTGCTCCCCAGTTTCCTGTGTCATTTGTGAGGACTCAAGGAGACAGTGTACCCTGTTCCCCAGCATCTAGAAGTGTCCCAAGTGCAGTGTGACCCTCACTCACTGTGCTGCTGAGTAGAAGCAAGCCCATCCTGACCACCAGATGCTGGAGCCCAGCCTCCATCTGCTGTACCAGCATGAATGGCATCCAGTGGGCTGTAGCAGTGCCAACGTCCTCAGGTACCGGCAGGGCCTGACCTCCCTAAATCCACCTCTGAAAACCAAGAGGACCCCACTGCATTGTGGATTGGCCACCGCAGGCTGGGACTGATCAACTGATAGAGACAAGGCCAGGCTCCCTTTCTTGTTTCTCTGTATCCCATATGTGAGACATCCTAACGTTACATGTAACAGTGACATGGCCAGGCATGGGGATGCACAGCTGTAATCCCAGCACTCAGGAAGCTGAGGCAGGAAGATCACCTTGACTTTGAGGCCAGCCTGAGTTACAGTGAATACTTTTTTTTGTTTGTCTTTTTGAGACAGGGTCTCACTATGCAGTTCATGCTGGCCTTGAGCTCACTTTGTAGCCCAGGCTGGTCTCAAACTCAAAAGATCCTCCTGCCTCAGCCTCCTTAGTGCAGGGATTATGGGCATGAGCCACCATGCCTGGCCTATAGAGTGAGTTCAAAGCCAGCCTGAACTGATTAGTAAGACCTTGCCACAAAAAAAGTGTCTCATTCTGCTTTTTTCAATCCAAGGATTGAACCCTGGTCCTTAGAGTGAGCACCATCCCCAGCCCTACTTAGAGACAGGACCTCATTAAGTCTCTAGGTTGCCTAGGAAGGGCTAGAATTGGTGATCCTCTTGCCTCATCCTCCTAGAGTGCTAGGATTTACAGTGTGGGCCACCACGCACAGCCTGAGACTTCTGTCCTGAGCACTGGACAGAACTCCGCAGATATCCACAATGTTTCTCCTGATGCTTCTCGAGGAAGCAGGGGGCCCAGAGGTGCAGCTTCCTGGCAATGGCCTGGCCCCTCTGTCTACTTGTACCTATGCCGGACTGGCACTAACAGCAGCTTCCGCCCTGTCCTAAGCACACTGTCCTGTGTGCTGTGGCTTCTGCCTCCAAAAGCTGCAGGGCCTCCAACCCAAGTCCAGCTGCTGTGCTCTGGCTCCTGCTGGGGACAGGCTTTCACCCTTCCTAAACCTTACAGGGTACCTTCTCCCGCCTTCACTGGACTTGGTCAGGGGAACAGACCAGATTTTCCTGTTGGTCAGTGATTTTATTTATTTATTTAGTGCTGGGGCTCAAAAGCAAGGCTGCCTATGTGCTAGTGAGTGCTGTACCGCTGACTGCACCCAGTCCCTAGTCCTTCCTCAAGTTCAGTAACAAATGATGACCACTGCACCACTCTGAGGTCCCTGCTCCACTCTCTCCTCTGCACCCCACAGGCCTCACTACGGCTATCTCAGAGAAGCAGAGAAATATCACCTGTTTGCACCCTTGTAACACAAGACACAACTCACCCAGTGGCCAACTATTCCCCTCATATAACAAGTGGCCTCTGTTGAAATCTAGGTGGAGGAGTTAGGGTGGACACACACATCCCAAGATGCCTCTCATGGCTGGGCATGGTGATGCATGCCTGTAATCCCAGCACTCAGGAGGCTGAGGCAGGAGGATCCCTGAGTTTGAGGCCAGCCTGAACTACATAGTGAAACCCTGTCTCAAAAAGGAATATATTTATATATTTATATTTCTTCCCCCTTTAGGAGTGTGGAACCACCACATACACCCCCACACATCTCTCTACCAAGCTCGGAGTGTGTAAGTATAGCCAAATAGATGGTGACCTCACATCCTGGCACTGATTTCCTGGGAATCTTTACTGTACAGTGAGGCTGAGGCTCAGGAACAGTTCCCAAGGCCAGGCGAGAGCTGGGACTGGGATGCAGGCCAAAGCCCACTGGGGTTCTATCCCCACCCTGCCGTGACTTGGGTCAGACACAGCTCTGTCATACAGGCAGGCACAGAGCTTTGTCAACACCAGGTATGCTTTCCCTGAGACATCTGATTTCAGAGGAAGAAAAAGTCCAAGACAAGGAGCCATCAGTAAAGACTTTAAAAATAGATATTTAAAGGTAGATCATGTACAGGCCTCTTGGGAACAATATCATTCACTGGGAGGGGAAAACTACACAGACATTTTGGAGCCACAGTGTAAGAAGCTGCTCCTCATGGCTGGGTGGCCCAGCAGGATGATTTACATCATGGTCCCGAACATGGGCTTGCAGGAGATACATGGTGGCAGTCGCACGGAGCTGCGCAGGACAAGGGGCTAGAAGTAGGCCAGCTCGTCATGCCTGGACTTGTTGGTCTGGTAGGCGGCCAGCATCAAGGGCTTGTTCTCATGTGGGAGGCTCTTGAACACCCGCAAATGCAAGAAGTTCTCGTCCCCAGTGTCTACCTGGAGAGATAGGATGTTGAGCAGAGGGCCACCCCACCCCCAGCTCCTTGGACATTCATGCAGGTCACCAGCATTGGGCTGAGGACAGCTCTCCACTCCTCCTTTTGGACAGGGACCCTGACGCTGCAACTCAGAACCTTGCCCTATCCTCCTCTGGAAGGGGCTGGGTACACTCACCCATGCACACACTCGGTCCTCCAAGACCACCCTGGGGCCACACCTACCTTGATGAAGTAGTTGATCCCAGCCACCGGCTGGCTCCTGAAGGATACAGCCTTGAAAACTGAGTACTTCTGGTTTTCCTTCTCTTCAAGCTGGGCCCTCACCTGAGGGAGGCGGAGAAGGGGAAGGGCTAAGCAGGTCTACAAGTGACATCCAGTGCCACCTGTGACACTATCACACTTCACAACAGAGGGGCGGGGTGAGCTGAACTGTCAGTTCCACCAACAAAAAGGAAGAAACCAGGTCCTTCCTAGCTATAAACTTCTGACATTTGCTCAGAAATGTCCTTAGCCCTTTTGTGGGGTATAGGACATTTCAGTATTTTGACAACTGCATTATCATACAATGTACAAATTTATACCCATTGTTTTGTCACTTTATATGCAAACATTTCAATGGATGGACTATGTGTCTTTTGTGTGTGTGCATGCAGGGTCTCACTATACATCGCCAGCTCAGCGTGCACTTAGCCTGAGCAAGCACTTAGTCCGCTGAGCTATCTCGCCAGCCCTTATTTTTTTTTTTTTAATGTGTCATTTTTAACCAACCTTTTATTTATTATTTGTTAGTGCCAGGGACGGAATCCAGGGCCTCACGCATGCTAAGCACAGGTTCTACCAGCACTGCACTATACTCCAGCCCTAACTCATTTTTTAAAACCAAATCTTTTCCATTAACTGAGACCTCAGATCTAATTTAAGCGTCACCTTCCACATCTTAGATACACCTGTGTCTTTTTCACTATTCTGTCTTCTTCACTATTCTGCCAGTCACCTGGGGCTCTCCTGGCTTTGGTCATGCCAAACTATGCAGTTGAGGATACGGTGCAGGGAAAGCCTGCCCCCATGTCTGATGCAGATCCCAATTTGAACCAAAACAACAAACAGCATCTCACTCAATTTTGTTTTCTTAGGGTCTTTGACTTTCAATTGCTGGTTATTTTTATCATGGAGGAAACAGTAAGTCTGTCTGTTCTTATAACAATCTTTTAGTGAATGCAGTTCAGAAGTGCTGTGGCTGCTATCAGAGTGCATGGCCAGAGTGCTGACCATGGCTGGGGTGCTCACAGAGGATCGAGTTTCTGGTCAGCAGACACCAGTAGGAGGCAGCAAGCAGCCCTGCTAGAAATAAAGGAGTCAAGCAGCTGCAGGTAGTGAGTCACCCAAGGCAGGGTGACTCTGCCACCCAAGGGTAGCTCCTGTGGGGAGGGCTGGAGCCTGGGAGGGAGCGGGGAAGCCATCCAAATACAACATGCTCCCGTGGCCCACCTCAGTTCAGGTGCAGTGCTGTGCCTCCAGGGACAGCATGCTGTGTGTGAGCAACACTCAGAAACCTGCCTGGGCTGCAAGGGGAGGATGGCTCTCAGGATCACAGGCAGGAATCTGTAGGCACAGTGGACTATTCCATGGGGGGTAGACCTCCAGGTCCTGGCTGACACTGTGGGCACCAGCCCTCCGGGGACCAGATGGGGTGGAAGGCCTGCAAGGCACAGGGACCCCCCAGACTGAGGATCCCCAGGTGCAGGTCCAAAGACAAGACTTGCCATCCTTCTGACCCAGGATCAGGTTCTGATCTCATTTCTCCTCATCTGCAAGTGGGAGAAGGAACAGCACCCAGAGCATATTGATAACTGGTGATGCACACCTGCAACCCCTGCATCCTGAGAGGCTGAGGCAGAAGCACTGCAAATTTGAGCCCAACCTGTGAAACATGTTGTCATAACAAGACTTAAAGTCCCCCCCCCCAAAAAAAAAAGACCCGAAGGTATAACTCAGTACAAAGGTCCTGGGTTCAATCCCCAGTACCTGCCCCATGGTTTCCAACAGGAACAAGACTACTGCTCACTGTTATAACCTGCCCAAAGCGCCGCCATCCTGTTCTGTATGCGCCCTCTTAGTGAACCATGTCAGCTGCTGTAAAATGTGACCTCCTGTTTCCCAAGCCCTCACCCCATCCTTGAGTTCCAATGTATGCTTGTCTCACAGAACACCTGTTTCCTCAAGCCCCCATCCCACCCTTGAGTTCCAATGTGACTGTTTCCCAAGCCTCCCCAGACCTATAACCATACTTAGTCTCAACAGATGCCATGACTTTTTTAACTTCCCGAGTTGTTCCCCCACCTGCTTTGCGATTTTAAGCTTTATAAACCCCACGATCCCCTCCTTCAGTGCGCACTTGGGCACCTTGTGCCGGGTGTTGCCGCTGGATACCAGCTAAAATAAAGTGCTTTTTAAACTTTTAAGCCTGCCTCACTTTTGAGTTACAACACTCACCTGACCCCCCTGTGAGCAATTCTGCTGAGGAAGGGTACGGACGACCTCGATAGGGGTATGGGCGTGTCTCATAGCAGCCCAGCAGGGCTCTGAGGCAACTGCCCTGCTCCCGTGGCTCTGAGTCACCAGCTGACTGCTCTCGCACGACCTACACCACCAGCGTTGGTGGCCGCGGCTGACCACAGCGGGGTGTGGGAGGCAGGGCGGGCAGGGAAGTCAGGAAGGGGGCCTGCCTGATCCTTTCCTCACCTTAAGCTCTGACCCTGCGGAGAAGGATCCCGACTTGGTTTTCGCGTCCCTGCACCTGGCTGGAGCCCTCCCAAGGTCCTGACGACGCTAGCTGCAGGGAAATCCAGGCACCAGGAGAGGGAGTTCTATTTTTATTTTTCATTTTGGAGACAATTTCAAACTCAGAGTTTGAAGTAGCGCTGAGTTACAGTGACAGAGGGTCACCTGCGCCCCCACCACGGGGTTCCCGCGTCACCGGGCCGTGGAGGGGCTCGCCCCAGGCCCGCGCCTCGCACCCTGATTCCTGGGGCCCAGCGTCTCACCGCATCCGCGAGCTCCTGCGTCTCAGCCGTGGCGGGCTGCGTGGCGGAAGGCGCCCCACACATCATCCTGGCGGGGAACTTAGGGAGTCTCCAGATTCACTGCAGTGCTGAGTGGCCTACTCTTATGCTCGTTGGCCTCGTGATACGGGCGGGGCCGCAGGGGCGGGGCCACGGCTCGGGGGCGGGGCCTGCCCGGAAGTTAGTTCGGTGCTTGCCTGGCTCTGTACTCAGGGACGCATGCGCGGGCTTGGACACGCACACACGAGGATGCGCGCGCACCGGTGGGGCTCGCCGCTGGAGAAGTCTGGGGCAACGTTAGGGTTGGAGTCCTCCTTCTCACTGGGGAGTCACGTGAGCTCCACCCAGTGGTGGATGACACTACAGCAAGAGCAAATGAGGAGAGTGGTGGCAACAGTGGCAATGCAGAGCAAGTCTGTCTCCCTTATGTTGCATTCAGGCTGTTTGCCCCAGGCTGGGTGTAGCACTCACACCCATAATCCTAGTGGATCATGAGTTAATCACAAACTCTGGAAGTCTGCCCTGTGACTTACGTGAGGCTTTGGGGGGACAACTAGACACAATCTGTAACAAGCTCCTTGGTAGAGAGCTTGCATAGCATGTAGGAGGCCCTGGGCTCTATCCCTAGTAACCCTCTCAAAACACAAAACAAAAAAGGTTTGTATTCAGGAACCACTGTACAAGGGCTAGCTGCCCTGACCCGCATTGGCAGAGACTGAAGGTGGGCCCAGGGGAGGAAGGCTCCACAGGGGCAAAGGGTGGCCAGAGCTCTGACTGACTTGACAGCACAGCTGGCTCTTTCTGGTTAGCACCACACTAGAATAGGAAACAGGTGAGGTCTGAGCCAGAAGTGACAGAGCTTCTGGCATGGCTAAGGTGGGGGGGGAGGACTGTCTTGTTTGAAGTGACAAGTATGTGTTTTTGTCACCAGGCATCCAGTTCTACCCTGTCCTGTGAACCCAGTAACTGCAGAGCCAGCAATGGGAGAAGAGTTTCACTGTCCACAGGTGGCATGTGGGAGATGCAGGGCCACCACCCAGTCCCAGCTTACCAGGGTTGCAACTGCAAATCCTATGTGGGGCTTCCAGGCCCAGCCCAGCGATAACAGAGCAGTCATGAACTCTTGAGAAGCCACTTCTCTTTTGCACGAGACCCAGGCAACCTGGTGTTCCTGGCCCTGTGACCTGGAGGAAGCCTCCCATTGGGAGGCTGGGGTGGGGTTGGCCATCACCCCTGATCGCTGAGGACCTTGCAGGTCAGGCTGGCAGTCAGTGAGTCACAAGGGAGGGTGCAAAGCAGACTTGCTGATGTGAGTGGTGAGTCACCCAGTCATCAGTGTCTGTCAGGGTCCCAGCTGCCTTCTTGCTGCAGGGCTGAGAGCAGAGAAAAGTTCCTACCCTCGTGGGGCATCCCTAGCCTACAGCCTGGGTATGGGTCTGGCCATGGACCTGTGTCAAGTAGCCTGACTGCCTCCTCTGCATCAGCTCTGTCTACTGTCAGATACTCATGTAAGCCTCACATATGATTTGTATTACTACTTTTTTTTTCATCAGAAGCCTTGAAAAATACTTTCACCTCTCATTTCTTGGTACCATGATTTCTCACCTGTGAAACCCAGGACAAAGACCTGTCTCCTAATGAGTCATCCTGTCCCATCTCAAGGGCATGGAATGTCACTCAAATTTTAAATCTGTTCAAGAACATCAAAGTTTCAGCTGAGTTTAATGGCATCCCTGTCCCCAGGGGTGCCTCTGGTTCTGGCCTACTAGCACCTCAAAGAATGACTTAGACCTGCTCCCAGAGCCCATGGGCTACCTGTGTCCTCACCATGCAAACCTGTCACCACAAGAATTTACTGACAAGTTCTAGCCCAAGAGACTGACTTGGAGAAAAGGAAAGATGAAAGACTTAAATACTTGCTTATTAACATCACAAGGGCCCCGTAGTCACTGTCTCTGGACCAATCCCAGAGCTCACAAGAATCCAGAGAGGTCAAAGGAGGGAATAGACTCAGGGCCATAAAAGCTACTGCTATTCACTGTCTATAAGCCCAGTGGTACAGCAAGAATTAGAAGGGGCATCAGGGTGTCCTGGGTGCACCTATGTGGTCTTGTCCTGTTCAGCTCTGCTGCAGTGTCTCTCTTTTTGGGAGAAGAGGGGAGGTTGAGACAAAGTAATGTATTCTAGGTCAGTCTTGAATTCAGTATAGCACCCAGGCTGGCCTTGAACTCAAAATGATCCTCCTTTTCGGAGGCCTCAGCCTCCGAAGTACTGGGATTACAGGTGTAGGCCCCTATGCTCAGCTTGCTGCCATGTCTCCTAACACCTGTGTGCACTGGGGGATTCCCTACCCAGCTCCCTGCTGGCCCCAGGAGCCCACACTATGAGTAGGTGGTTAACACCTGTGGCAGCAGACAATCAGCACCCATGGCAGATGCTGATTCAGGCTGCTGAATCAGGCCTTGTTCTGCAAAGGAAGCAGCCACCTGCACTGCCAAAGATAGGCAGGTGAGGGTAGGCCCACAGTTCATCCTGCCTTGATGTTTTTGTAGACTAAGCATGTCTTCATCACTTTCCTCATTGCTGGGACACAATGCCTGACACCCACAATTTAAAGGGGAAAAGTTTATTTTGGCTCACATTTTCACTTTGTGGGCGGCTGGCTGCTCACATCAGGGTGGCCAGGAAGCAAAGACAGAAAGGAGGAGCCAGGAAAGGAGAGGAACCCTCCAAGCTGGGCCCACAGTGATTTACTGTCCTGACCAGACCCCACTCACTGCAAGTCAGCTCAAGCCCCCTGATGCACTCACCTTCCAGAGGTCCTACTATGATCACATGAGGCTATAAGGGATGTGCAGAAGAAACCATAACATAAGAGTGTTTGCTCCTTACACATTTTGGTAAAGAAAACAGAAGACTTCAGGATATGAAACTAACACATGATGCCACAGGTTCCTGCACAGCAATGATCAACCCACTGAGAAATTAAGAAACCAGTTCCAGTCACAATAGCTTCAAAAATATTAAGTACTTAGGAATCAACCTAACCAAGGACGTTGGTGATTATCTCTACAGTGAAAACTACAGAACATTGAAGAAATGGGAAAAAATAGAAAGTGAAATAAACCCTCTGTTCATGGGTCAGACTAAACAATATTGTGAAAATGGCCAGATTACTAAAAGCAATCTACAGATTTAGTAAAGTCCCTATTAAAAACCAGCAACATTCTTTACAGAACTACAAAAAAGTCCTAAATTCATGTAGAATAAGAAAAGGCCAGCCCTGCCCCTGGGGTGCACTGAGCCAGCAAAGGAGTCCAGGTATGGTGGCTCACACCTGTAATCCCAGCACTAGGGAGGCTGAAAATAGGAGGATCACTAGAGTGTGAGCTGTGTAGTGAGACCCTATACCAAATACAGAATGAAAAAAAATTAATTAAAAAAAGAGAAAAGGTCTAGAACCAGCCAAGCAGTCCTGACCAAAAACAGCAAGGCCAGACCTCTGCAGAGCCAGAGTAACAGAGACAGCATGACACTGGCAGAAACCAGGCAAGTGGGCCCACAGACTGCAAAAGAAGATGCAGAAATGAACCTGTGCATCTGCAGCCATTTGACTTGAGTCAGAGGCACCAAAAAACATGCTGGAAAAAAGACAGCCTCTTTCATAAACAGTGCAGGGAAAACTGGATGTCCATGTGCAAAAGATTGGAATTAGATCCCCTCTACTGAAATCAAAGGGGACCAGAGACCTAGATACATAGCAGAAACTTGAAACTGCTGGAAGATAACACAAGGGAAGCACTTCAGACCATAAGCACAAAGATGTCCTCACTGACCCCAGTAGCCCCAGAAGTAATATCAAGAATCAACAAGTGAGCCAGGTGTGGTGATGCATGCCTGTGATCCCAGCACCCCTGAGACTGAGTCCAGCCTTAATTAATTAAAAATATAATGAAACGACATCCAAAAGCTTCCACACAGCAAAGGAAACAACAGGGTAAAAAGCCTACAGAATAGGAGAAAAATCCTTACTAGCCACTCTTCAGATAGATTAATATCCAAAACATACAACTCAAAAAGATTAACCGCCCAAAATTAAAAGTGGCAAATGAACAGAATAAACACATCTCAAAAGAACTACAAATGGCCAATACATCTTTATTTATTAGGAAATTACAGATCAAAACTATTTTGAGATCCTGTCTTACCCCAGTCAGAAGAAATATCATCAAGCATATGAACATCCCTCCTTTAACAACTTAGTTCCGGGCTGGGGAGATGGCTCAGTGGAATAAGCGCTTCCCTGGCAAGCGCAAGGGCCCGAGTTCAATCCCCGGTTCGAAAAAAAAAAAAAAAAAAACAACTTAGTTCCTTTCCTGTAGCTGGGTCCTTATGGAGTTGGTTGGTAAATGAGGGATAATACATTACAATATTCAGAACAAATGGTCCAAGGAAAGTCCAACTTGAGTTCTATTTGCATAACTCTTACAGGCAATACTGTAATGTATAACATAAAACTACACTACTATAGTATATGGTGTAATCAGTAGAAATTGCAGTATATATAAACAACGTACACTACAAAATATACTGAGGTTCTATAAACAAGACGTACACAACTGTACACAGAAAAGTCATAACTCTGAACAGTGTGCCTTTGTCGTAAGTCTGAGCAGTTGTTAAACATGTAGGTTGTTGAACGAGGCATATCTGTACTAAAATCTATACCATCAAGGACATGGGAGTGGAGGAAAGAACCTTTCCTACCACACTGTTGGTAGGAATGTAAACTAGAACAGCCACTATGGAAAACAATCTGGAGGTGCTTCGAAAAACTTAACAATAGCAATTCTATTTGATTGTTTTTGTGGAACCAGGGATTGAACTCAGGCTCTTGCACTTGCTAGGCAAGCGATTATTCAACTGAGCCATCTCCCTGGCCCCCCTACACTTTATTTCAATTTATTTATTTATTTATTTATTTATTGCATAACCAGGGATTGAACTCAGACCCTTATGTTTGCCAGGGAAGCGCTTATTCCGTTGAGCCATCTCCCTGGACTAGCAATTCTATTTGATCCAGCTATACCTCTTCTGGATGTTTCCAAAAGAAAGACCTCAGCCCATAGTGATACATGCATAGCTGTCTTATAGTTGCACAGTTTATACGAGCTGAGCCCCAGTGCATGT